CCCCAAAACCCCAAAACCCCGTTATCAATTTATGCAGAGAAGTTTTTTCAAATTAATTTGCTCATAATAAATCCATTAAAATATTCATCATAATTCACACCTTCCTTTGGTATATTCAATTTCTCATAATAACTTTTGAAATCCTTTTTAAAAGCTGCAAATCCAAATAGCAACCAAATAATCCACATATATCTCATCATATGCTTAGGTTCTCTTAAATCCATATCTTCCTCAACTATATTATGAATAAGAATGTGTCAATTTTATTACCCATCTATAGTAATATCTTTTGCTTATCTAATTATGATCTTTTCCCTTCAATTTACAATTTTCCCAAAGTGTAAGTCACACTTCCATCTTCCTTATTATAACTTACATTTTAGAACTTGTTATTCATTAGGTTTTCATCTAGAGTCTAATCTCTTTCCTCAACCCACTTTTATAATCTCTCATAAGCATCGTTCAAATCTTTGAATTTATCATCCAATCTTTTTTTCTAAAATACTGATAAACTTATCAGAATTGAAATACTTGTTCTTAAGTTATAAATTGTGCCATTTTTGCATTTAGTAAATCAGGATGACACTGCTTTGCTAATTTATGATACTGCTTCTTGAGATCATCTTTGCTTACGTACTTTGGTAGGTTCATTAAAACCAAATCTTTAGCAATTTATGAGGGCAGTTGCATTATTGTTTGACTACCACCTCTGCTTTCTTATTGAGAGTTGAAATTTGCATTAAATTTCCTGGTATTATCTTAGTCTTGACTATTTTAATACTCTCCTTCTGCATATGTGCTACTTTATTATTCGAATTTCTGCTATGCCTTCTCTCTTTTTTTCTTATCAAAGAACTCATTAAAATCAAAGTCTTTCTCCTTTTTTGTTGAAAAGTGCCTTAATTTATTACAATTTACCACTATATTAAAACCTCTTTGTAGCCTCAAAGTTTTCATTATCATTTTTAATTAAATATTTAATAAATATATTAAAGATAACAATTCATACTAATGGGGTTTTGGGGTTTTGGGG